TAATTAACTTTTAAGAATTAAATACTACTAACTTAACTCTTTTTTAGAAATATAGTAATATTATATATTATATCTTTAAATATATTATATTAGCTAGATATTATTAAGTCTAGAACTTACTTCAGGCTTGTCCTGGAACCATCTTAAGAAAAACAACATCTTCATACGTTATCTCACAGTCCCGCGCACATCATGCATGCATGCACTTCGTATCAACCAAGCACCAAGCACCAAGCACCAAGCACCAAGCCAACTCGCCTCTCCTAAACTATAGAGTCCTTTATTCGAATGTGACAAAACGCGGGAATCTCTTAGCCTCAGCCTCGTCAACTTGGCTCCCCGCTTTTAAGAACATTGCGGACCTTCTTTGTGGGCGGAGATGGAGGTAAACCAGGTTTCACTATGAGTTATCGTTAGATATCCATTCCATTTAGTTACCATCACTTGCTGCTGGCTGTCCTTCGCAGGGCAACAAGCGGCTTGCATGGGGAATCAAGGGAGGCTGAGACACCGACTATGACAACAATCACAGAAAATCCGAGCCACCTCGACGAATTAGAGGGAAGAGAGGCCGTGGGAAAACCAGCCACCTTCCATGTCCTTCGGTGGCATCAGGGTGAGAGAGCACGAATAAATAACCAGCACACCCGAGCGCCAGCTTAGCCAGCTAACCCAATGGTACAGGTCGGGACTTTGAGTGTTCAAAAGTCCAGAATGTAACGGATCTGCCTCAGCTTGCCGATTGTGACTTGACAGTGATGTGAGTTGAGCGCACAGCTAGCTCCATAGGCGGCCATAAAATGCAACAGACCAGAGAGACCTAACGAAGGCCCTAGTCTCGCCCCCTTCGATAGTCCCAGCGCAATCCCTGATTTCCGAGCGCTGGTAGACCGGTATGAAATTCCAAGCGGGTTTGTGTTGGAGAGACTGCAGGGAGTGACGCACTCCTTCGGCGCGTCGCTAGCCAGAGACGGATCGCAAAGTGAGTAGTACCTAAGTAATGTCACCCTCCAAGGCCTTGACAATATTCGCTCTATGTAGCCTGGCTGCAGCAACTTGGACATCATCTAAACGCTTTAAACCAGCGGTATGGATGCATTTTCTCTGCACGGCGTCTTCCCCAGATGCCGAAAACGCAGAGTGGCTCAAGTCCGCGGCCGTCCTGAAATGGTCAACACCAACAGCCAACCGTCAAACACCCAATAATCAGGACAAACGCCACGCGAATGGTCCTGTTACTCTTATATGTTTTCGGCCGATGGAGGGTATCTGCGAGCGAATCTTCCACCTCGCACAAGAATCCAATTGGGGAGATGTCCTTCAAGACCCGTATCTATTGTTGCTCGATATGGTGTATGAATCATGGTATCTCCGTCTGGACGAGAGTGCCTGGAAGACAAATAATCTTTGCCAAAATATCGAAAAGGTACGCCGGGCACTCCATCAATAGGAGCCGGTAGAAGATAACTAAAAGCTGATGAGCATGAGCGAGCGCCTTTTCACTCCCTGACAGGATGCATTCAAAGGCACCAGAGACCTTGACGCGAGTTTCCCGGGCCCACCAGTCGTCGATATCTATTACGTCCACACGATTGCCAAAAATGCGATCTTTATGCTGGAAGCCGTTGATGCCACGCTTCGGTCACTCGACGCAGCCATCGCACATCACCAAGAGCTATCATATACCATCTCTCCCCCACAAAAGAATAAGAAGGAGGAGAATAGGAAAATTCTCCATCTGGTGAATGGAACATCGGATAAACGCTCCCCAATATGGAGAGCCACGCAAGGCATGCTGTTGCACCGCAGGGAGCTTTTCCAGGCAACCAGATTGCGCACCATTAGTGTTGAAAAGCGGCTGACCAACATTATCAACCTCGTATGCTTTCTTTCCGGTGCCCAGAGGCTCCAATCTGCGAGCGAATTACCGGCTGCTGACTTGTGGTTGATCTCAACAGGCGTTCAACATTGATGCTATGCGAAACAGCCGCATAACCCAACGCGACAGTTATAGCTTGAAAGCGCTTTCACTGGTTGCCACCGTTTTTCTCCCTATTTCGACTGTGGCCACAGTATTTAGCACGCCATTCTTCGAAGCCTCTGGTCCGTCGACATCTCCCCAAGCTAGTGACGTTCAAGGAGGGGGGACTCTGCTTGTTAACAGTAAGTTTTGGCTTCTCTGGGCGGTCTCAATGCCTATTAGTGTAGCCCTCATTTTCGGCTGGTGGTTCTGGGTAAAGGGAGTTGATGCAGGGTCCAGAACGAGGAGGATAAGAGAAAAGGACGTTGAAAAGGGATAGACCATAACTATCAGATAGTTATACCTCCTAGGTAACCAGATTTTGAAGGATGATAGATATAACTAGCCCGATATAATCATGAAGAATGACCATTTCTCTCAAGGTAAACTCTAGTTATAGCTAGTTATATGACCTATAGAGACTTCAGCCTGGTAATTCATTGAAGTTTGCATTCAATATTTGTCCCATGGGAGAAGAAGAGTTGGAGTTTGCCAACTGTTGGCCTGCATATTCCAATCAATAGCTAGTCCATCTTCCAATATTCAAGTAGCATTAGTTACTTTCACCTTCAGAATATATATCAATGTCGCTAACTATTTATTTTGTATATAAATAGTTATATCGAGAAGCAAATTTACCAGGACAAGTCTTTTCTACCCATACCGGAGACCCTCTGGGGACTCGAGGGAGGACAATTGACGCTGCTGTAGGCTAGCTATACCCATGACCAGCTGTCCAGTGCGTGAGGCTGCCTTGCTGTATCGGCCTTAGGATAGCTATATTGCGCGTTATATAGTTAGCCATCGGATAGATACCAGGTGGAGAGGCCTGAAGAAGCCTCAGACAAGCCAATTTCCCTGGCTGCAACCCGTAGCCACTATGGCTGCGACTCCAGAGGGCCCCTGGCTCCATCTCGCTGCGGACTACAGGTAATTAACATACGATCCAGCTGGCCACTTTCTCACAAGGAGCTGGAGCTGGGAGTCGCCTTGCTGCCGTTGGTTGGATTATGGATTATGCGGGATTCAAAGACGAAGTTGAGCATTTAGTTCCAGACCTGTATCATTTTTTGGTGACTGTTATTACAATGACCTCGAGGAGAAGGACGTCTATGTACAAGGGAGCTGCTTTTTTGTTTTTTAGAGAAAAAGAAAAGGACAGGAAACAAACCGTAAGAGAGAAATGATGCCATCCAGGATATAGATAGATATACCGTTTCAAGAATGGAGGGGAGGATATTCAAGCAGGCTAGCTAGCGGAGGTATTAATGCAAAAGAGATCCAAACCAGAGGAAGAATAAAAAGAGACGAGAAGGAAATAAGAAAAGAAAGCAGGAAATAATGGAAAAGAGAGTAGAGAAAGAAAGACAAGAGAGAACGTAGAGAGAAGTATCAGAGAGAGAAAGAAAGAGAAAAGAGAGAGAGAGTGTGTGTGTGGTGTTTACACGGATGGGCAGCACTGGCGGCCCGGGGCACAATCTTCACCACATTCGAGCAGACAGGACTCGCTGGCGACGGAGGTGAGCTGGGAGCTGCCTGGGCGCAGGGAGTTCTCCTCGCTCCCCGGGTAGAACTCTGGCTGGACGGTGGACGAGTGGATTCCGTACGCGTGGAGGCATTTGCGGACGTGTCTCGCAAGGGTCATGTACCTGTCGGAGCCTTCGCCCTTGATGTCGAAGCTGACCTGGATGTGGAGCGAGGCGACGAGCTTGGTGTCGCTGAGCTGCCAGACGTGGAAGTGGTGGCAGCTGATGATGCCCGGAAGCTGCTCGATGTCCTCGATGATGTGGTCGATGCTGAGGCCGGCGGGCACGGCCTGGAGGAGGATCCTGGAGGCGGCCTTGCAGAGCGGGATGGCGGAGAAGAGGATGATGACGGTGATGAGCAGGGAGATGGCCGGGTCTGCGTAGTAGCGCCAGGTGTAGTCCGTGAGCCAGATGAAGAGGGCCGAGACGATGACGCCGATGTTGCCGAGGGCGTCGCCCAGGACGTGGAGGAAGACGCCGCGCATGTTCAGGTCGTGGCCATGGCCGTGGCCGCCGTGGCCGCCGTGTCCCTGCTGGGCCTGGCCATGGGCGTGGTCGTGGTCGGCGTCGGCGGTGTCCTTGGCCCTTGCGTGGTTGTGCTGGTCGTGGATGTCTGGACGGGGCTGGACAGAAGTGGCAGCGTAGGGCGTGGTGGTGACTTTTGGGGCGTTGGGTAGCAGCCGGGACTCCTCGGACTGGCGGATGTCTTCTTCCCTGTCGGACTCTGAGTCTGGCGAGGGCTCGTCTTCGAAGCGGCTGGCCTGGATGATGTCCTGGCGCAGGCTCGCCGGGTGGCCGCTGATGTCCTCAGCGTCTCTGAACCCGCTGTATCGCCTGCTCTCGCGGCTGACCCGGCTGATGGAAGGGTGGTGGCGTGAGTGCTGGCGGGCGCTGGGCGAGCTGGGGATGACAACGCTGTTGGTCAGGGTGGTGGGCGTGAGGGCGGAGGAGGAGGGCGGCTGGGCAATCTCGCGGGAGTAGCCCAGCTCGGCGGACTCGATGGGCTCGTCGGCGCCATGACCGTGGCCGTGTCCGCCGTGGGAGTGGTCGTGGAAGAGGAGGAGGCCGAGGATGTTTGAGAGCAGGCCGAGGGCGCCGACGATGCAGATGAGCTTTGGATGCTCGACGGTCTGGGGCTCGACGAAGCGATTGATGGCCTCGAGGAAGATGGAGAGACACAGGGCGACGAGGAAGACGCCGTTGATGAGGGCACCGAGGGTTTCAGCGCGTTGCCACTGTCACCGCCAGCCGTTAGCTTTGTAGATGGTGAGATAGCTGAAGTGGTGAGACTCACGCCGTAGGTGTATGTCTTGGAGGACTTTTCGTTGGCGACCTTGACGGCCCATAAGCCAACACAGAGCGAGAGGACGTCGTTTAGCTGTCATCGCCGTTAGTATCAGCATCAGTATCAATATCGATAGTTGTTTGTTTTCGCGTAGTGATCGACGTACCATATGAAATGCATCGGCGACGAGAGCGAGCGAGTGCACGGCATAGCCTGGAGGTTGTTAGCAGGAGAACCCGCAAGGGCTGCAGACAGGCCAACTCACCGACGCTGAGCTCGACGACGAAGAAGACGGAGTCGATGATGAGGAGGAGGACGATCCTCTGCGACTTGGTCAATCCCATCCTGCCGTCGTCGCTGTCGCCGTCGCCGTCGCCGTCGCTACCTGGAGTATTGTTGTAGAAGAGAAGAAGAAAAGAAGCAAAGAAGAAAAAGAAGAAGCGCCGCCAGGGCAGAGCAACGAGTTAGTCAAGACGACAGGCCAGCCGGCTCATCCGCATCCTCGTCCTGCTTCGTCTTTAGTGTCGAGGTCGCCGTCGCCGTCGCCGTCGTCGAGATTCTGGCTCGTTCGTTGAAGCTGCAGGTTTTTGGTGGCGCACAAGAAGGCCGACGCTGAGTCAGCGCAGGAAGAAGCAAGGAAGAGAAGAAGAAGAAGAAGAAGAAGAAAAGAAAAGCAGAAGAAGAAGCGAAGAAGAAGCCAAAAAGCGAGGATGAAACGCCGGCCGGAGTCGTCGATAGGTCGAGGTCGAGCAGATCAAACGGGCAGCAGATCAGGCGAGGCCGGGGCAGAGGGAAAAGGAGGCGGCCAAGCAGGCCAGCGCAGCGGCAGCGTTTCGCATCGGCGCTACCGCCCTATATCAGGGACCCTGAGGGCGAGACAGGGAGGGAGCATTATTATTATTATTATCCTTAACAGCCTGCAGAGTAGCCAGAGAATAAATATTAATGTTATTATATGGTGGTAAGGCTACTCGGAGTCGCGGCGGGCACTGATCATGATGACGAGGACGAAGATGACGGCGACGACGGCGGCTGAGACGAGGCCGATGAAGTTGACCTCGCGGCCGCCGGCGTGGACCCGGCCGCGGGCGAGGGCGTGCTGCTGGCGCCAGAAGCGAAAGGCGCCCGCGACGGCGACGAGGACAGCCAGCAGGTGGCAGACGCAGGCGAGCGGCTTGCCGACGCGGTGGAAGCCAAAGTCGGCGTTGTGGACGACGGCGTGGTTGAGCGAGAAGAGCTGCGCGATGAGCACGCCGACCATGGCAAACGTCAGCGAGGTGCGCATGTACGCCAGGTACGTCCTCTCGAGGGCTATCCTCTCGTTAGCATCTATCTTGATCTCTATATAGACAGTTATAGACAGAGAGAAAATACCGAAGTGGTCGCGGTTCTGCTTTCTGGGGACGCGGATGGAGATGTGCGCCCACCAGAAGCGCTGCAGGCCGGCAAAGGGCCCGCTGGGCTGTCTGCTGGCCGTCGTCAGGACGCTCTCGGTGGTCGGGCGGCGCGAGGCGACGATGCCCAGCTCGCCCGAGGCCACCGAGATGGGCGAGCTCGACCGTGAAGCCGGCGATGCTGGTGATGCTGGTGAATTCAGGGTATTCGCAGTATTCGCAGTATTTGGGCTGTTTGGGATGTTGAGGGTCGCCATCTCGAGGGTCTCTGGCAGCGCCGGGAAGGGCTCACAGCTCTTCTGCTGCTCATGGCTATGCTGCCGATGGTCATGCTGGTCATGCTCCGCCTGCTCGTAGCGGTCGCTGTCGTCGCTTCGTCCGTCTGCGGGCTCCATGAGGCATTGAGGATGCTGTAGGAAAAGACAGAGCAGCAGCAGAGAAGGGCAGAGATTTCCGTCTTCCAGTCTTCCGTCGGTCTCCTGTTGATCAGCCGGCTTGCTCGGGCTCGCAGGCCATGCACATCGATGGGTCGATAGGCTGTGGATATCTTGCTGTCGATGTCGATGTCGCTGGTGCTCTCGAGGTTGCGTAGATGTACATAGATGTCGATGTTGTTCTGGTTAAAAGCCGACTGCCGGCCAACTTCTCTCGCCGGCATCTTCGTCTCCTCCATCTTCGCCAGCACTTCTTCCGCTGCCCGTCCATCGCCTGCTCTCTTCTCTCTCTCTCTCTCCCTCTCTCTTTCTCTCCCGCTTGGGGCATCGACAGCAGCTTCTATCGACCTGCGATCCCGAGCTGCGCCCTTGGCGACCTTGGCCGCGCGGTGGCTGCAGGCAGAGCGTGGGCGGCGGGCTTGGTGGCGCCGGCGAGCTGTTACACTCACACAGACGAGAAGCAGACACAAAGAGGACACAGACAGACAGAGAGGATACACAGATGCAGGGAGAAGAAAAGGACAGCTGGTCCTCAGAGGTGCGAGATAGGGGCTTCTGCCTGCGTGATGGGCGGTTGAGCTGGCTGACAATATAATATATAACCAGGCATACGAGGCGGCGGCGGCCTTCGTGCCCCGGCTCGCGGACACGGTGCTGCAGCTGCTGCAGCCTCGCCGCGAGGACAGAGTGCTCGATGTCGGCTGCGGCGACGGCCAGTTCACGGCCAGGTTCGTCTCTGCCGTCGGCGCCGTGCTGGGACTCGACTCGTCGCCGGCCATGGTCGAGGCTGCGCGCGCGCGGCTGGCGGGATCCTCGTCCCCAGCGGCCTTCCGGGTGCTCGACTGCAGGCTGCTCGGGCAGACCGACATCGTCGACGGCTCCTGGGACAAGGTGTACGATCTACATACAATTCTACGAATGCGGGTGTTGTGATGTGATGTGTTGGGCTGACGGTTGATAGAGTGTCCAACGCAGCGCTGCACTGGATCCTGAGAGACGCCAGCACCAGAATCCCCGTCCTGCAGGCCATCTTCGACTGCCTCAGGCCCGGTGGCGTCTTTGTCTTCGAAATGGGCGGCCATGGCAACGTCGCGGAGGTCCACGCTGCCCTGCTGGCTGCGCTCGTGCTCCATGGCCTGCCGCTGCAGCAGGCCAGAGACGCCAGCCCCTGGTTCTTCCCCTCGGCCGCCTGGATGCGAGACGCCCTCGAGCGCATCGGCTTTGTCGTCGACTCCCTCGAGGTCGAGTACAGGCCGACCAGACTCACCGAGAGTGACTCTAGAAGTAGTGACTCCAGAAAAGACTCTAAAGATACCAGCAATGACACCAATGACACCGGAATTGCAGGATGGGTCAGGCTCATGGGCGCCTCCATGATAGACACGCTGCCTCCCCAGGCCCGCGAGGACGCCATCCGCTCGACCTGCGACCTGCTGCACTCCGTCATCTCGCGCGAGGACGGGTCCTGCTGGCTGGGCTACGTCCGTCTCAGGGGGGTTGCCCGGAGACCGGCACTTTAACATCTACTCTCCTTTCACTACATCTACTATTCTGTATGTCCTCGCATTCTTAGTCCGCCCCCCTTGGGCCTCGAGGGTGCTGGGCAGGTCTGAAAGACGGAGGTGGTCTTGCTCTTCAATCTTGCGCCGTTCCCCTGAGCAGTATACATATATATACATATATATATACATACATCAGGGTGACTCTCTGCTATCCATGGAGCAAGGGATGCAGGATGTCAGCTCTGTCCGTAGCGCGGGGATATCCTCTCAAGCAATATCCAGTATATCAAGCGGTATATAGTGGTATATAGTACAGTCAGTCAATCTATCCTACATCTAGTCTATAGTAGTCTACAGTACACATCACTCTGCCAGCGAGATCTTCTTCACCTCCCAGCCCTCCAGATCAGGCCACTCGTCCTTCTTCTGGCCCAGCAGGCAAAAGGACCGCTGTCCGGCCTCAACGAGATACTTCTGCGCCGCCTCGCTCACCTCTCGCGCACTCACGTCCAGCACCTGCTCGCGCCAGGCCTGGTCCATCTCGTGCGTCACGCCGCTCAGGAAGTACCGGTGGCCCTCTTCCTCCACGCTGACGGGCGCATCCAGCCCCTGGAAGATGCTCAGCTTCGCCTCGTCCAGCTCCCGCTGCGTCCAGCTCCGGTCCCGCGCATACTCGCCGCTCTGGCTGAACACCCGCAGCGTGTTCAGCGGGTTCGGGTCCCGGTAGCTCGAGAAGCTGAAGATGCCCCTGACCGGGCCGTTGCTCGCTCCCGCCCCGTACGCTCCCCCCTTTTCCCGTATCTCGGGATGGAGGTAGTTGTGCGTCAGCAGCTGGGCCAGCACGCTCAGGGGCGCACTCGACCGGCTCACAAACGGCACAGTCTCCATCGCCAGACCCGAGTACGACACCTGGAATGGCAGGTCATACAGCACCTTGTCAGACGACGGCCTGGGGAATGGCTTCGTTGGGGCCGTCGGTGATGGTGTTGCTGCTGCCGTAGATTTCAACCCAGACAGCCACCGCTGTAGCACAGCTTCGTTCTCTGCTCGCATCGCAGCCTCGCAGACAACTCGGATTCTCAGGCCAGATGATCGTCCCAGAGCAAACGCCTGGATCGTCTGCAGATGGCCAATCAGCTCCTGCAGCCGTTCCGGCGACCGCTGGGCGTCCTGGAGCAGCTGGGCCATCTTCTGGATCTGAGAGAGGCCAGACGTCTGCTCTTCCGCCCAGAACTTCCGGGACAGCGTGGACGACGCCATGTTCACCGCATAACGATGGCCAGATGCCGCCACTGCGTCCAGCGCACCGTTGCAGCTCGACTTCAGCAGCTCCTCGATCATCCGCGGTGCATCCGGCCCTCTAAACGCACTCTCGTTCACCAGAGTGGTCAACATCGACAGCATCTCCGGCATGTTCTTGTCCAGTGCAAAGCCCGAGAACTGCATCCCTTCTGAGAACCGGTCCAGCGCCAGCGGAGAGGACGCTGCAAAAGTGGACGAGCTGATCCCGCCCGTCTTCAGCTTGATCAGGTCTTCCCACTGCTCCATCCGTCTGCTGCTCGTGCCCAGACGCATAATGCAGTCGTTGAACAGCGGGAGCAGCAGCCTGAGATGGTCCGGCAGCTCGTCCAGAGCGTTCAATATCTGGATGTATGACAGCCCGTTGGTCGGGGCCTGCCGCCACACAACATCAACGCCGTCAATCTTCGACTCGCTCAGTTCCTTCTTCTCCCTTTGCCGCGGGATATCATTGACCGTAAGCGTAGGCAGACAGGACAGATCAGCCTGCTGCGCTGCCTCCTGGACGTTGAGCAGCTCCAGCTCTTCTTTCTTCAGCTGCTCTTTGGCAGCCTCTATCGACCCGTACTTCTGGCCGAGCTCTTTCATCATCGTCTCCTTGCGGGCAGCCTCTCGTTCCACCAGCGAGTCGTTATACGTAGGATCCCCGTTCATCGTAAACGCCATGTACTTGTCATTCATGAAATACTTCTGCATCAGTCCTTCCAGGTAGCCTCCCTTTCCGTAACGCTTCTTGAACTCGTTGATCACCTCGTTCCACGCCAGGTCCTTCATCGGATCAGATCCGTTGAACCACGACGAAATGACTTTTTCCATTATCCCCATGCCGAAATTGGCTGTCTTGTGCCTGAGAGCGAGTTCAAGCTGGTGCAGCATGCCCTGTACTTTTTCGTCGTTGAAGCCCTTGGAAAGCTGTTCTTCAAACACCTTTTGTATGCTCTTCTGAACGTCGGGTACATCTGCCTCGGATATTCCATTCACTCCAACAGAAAAGATAGGCACTTTTCCGGACGTGTCTAGCCCGGTGTTGGGGGTGAACGACGAGCCGATTCCGCTTTCGATAAGAGCCCGGTACAACGGAGAGCCGTAGCCATCCAGCAGCAATGACGATAGTATCCCCATCGAAAAGAGCTCAACGTTATCTCTGGAGTCTCCCGCGTGCCAGGAGACCGAAGTCTTGGTTTGCTTGTCCTCGCTGGCAAAGGTATCAATTGGGCCGCTCACTGTGACATTGGTCGGTCCAGAGCTCAGGTCGATGGGCAGCTTTACGTCCAGCGGATTGGCCTTCTTCTCGAACCCGTTGAGCACTTCTCCTACCTGGGCCAGATGGTCAGCCAAAGGCATGTCTCCGTAGGTGAATATTCGTGCATTGCTCGGGTGGTAATTTGACCTGGAATAGTCAACCAGCTGTTGGTGCGTGAGCTCCGGGATATGCTGCGGGTCACCACCAGAGTTGTTCAGAGCTGGGATTATCTGCTCCCTGAACCGGATGTAGTAAAGATAGTTTGCATCAGACATCTGCCCCTTCATCTCGTTATACACGACGCCCTTGAAGACGATGTCCTCCCCCTTTGCATGTTCACCTGAGGCCCCTTCCTGTGAGCTGAGTTCAGCAGCTCTAGCGTTCTCTGGGCCTAACCGCCAGCCTTCCTGTCGAAAGTCCTCTTCCTTGAGCAGTGGGTGCAGCGTTGCATCTAGATAGACAGACAGCAGATTCTGAAAGTCCTTCTTGTTGGTCGTAGCAAAGGGATACGTGGTATGGTCCGAGGAGGTGAAGGCGTTCATGAAATTAGAGAGTGAACGTGGCAGCATCTTGAAAAAGGGGTCTCGAACGGGATATCTAGAAGCAATCTGTTAGCCGCATCCATCTTTCTGTCTCCAGACCCGTCGTATATATATACAGATATATGCGGTAAGTGTTGGTATACTGACTTTTCACTGCCGCAAAGGGTGGTGTGCTCGAGGATATGCGGCACTCCGGTAGCATCCGGAGGGTTCGTCTTGAACGAGATGCCAAAGACATTGTTCTTATCGTCTCTTGCAACATGCAGGTAGTCTGCGTCCGTCTTCTCGTGCTTCAGGTGGATGGCACTCAAATGCAGCTCTGGGATGTGCTTTTTCTGCTGCACGATGAAGCCATGCAGCTTCTCGCCAGCCGCCGGATAGCTCTCCAGCGCCGTCACGGTCGACGTAGACGCCCATCTCCTGTCCTTCAGCTTCAGTCCCAGGCTGCTCCCTGGCTGAGCATGTCTCGACAGCGCTGCCGGAGCCCTGAAGCTCCCCAGCTTGCCCAGTCTGCCTCCTGACCGCAGCATCTTCACGGCCGTCTCGCTCACTTCTCAGGCCTCAATTGTATTGTCCAGTCTTCAGCGTCCAGCCACTACCATCGTCGACTCCAATAAACGGAAATCAAGCCGAGTCTTCCTGTCTTTTTTGTCTTCCGGAGCTGTAGAATCGAGATCGCAATCCGCGGTGGTTTGTATAACTAACTATATAGAACGACGGACGATCAACGACCAACAACTAGAGATAGTTAGTTAGCTCACGTAGCGAACGGCACAGGCAGAGACGAGCTATCCAACTGCCGTCCTCGTCCTCGTCCTCGTCTTCCTGTCTGTATGTTCGTTATTCCAAGCCTGCAGCGAAGTAAAGAAAAAACCAGTTGCTTTGGCGCTAGAGACGCTGCGGCGCCGCTCAATTGGCTGTGCTTCCATTTTCTCTTGGTCTTTTTTTCTTCTTTGCTCTGACAAATTTGGCCCTTTCGACGGAACAAACACAACCTCCTCCGACGCAGCGACGGCGAGACAGCAAGCACACGCAGAGACCGACGCAGCAACGGCACACGCAGAGACCGCGAGCGGCTTTCGACCAGGCTGCCATAACTACCTTGTTGTTTTTTGCTCGAGCCCGCCTGTTCTTCCTGTTCAGCGGGCGGACCGGCTGCCGCCCACCGGGACTCATTGCCAACCTCTCTCGGACCTGAAGAAAACGCACGCCCAGGACGCTGCTGCGAGGAGACGGACGGTCGACTGGGATGGTAGATGCGGCGGACCTCCCTTGTGTCAGTGTATACGTTCCAGCTGCTGCCTGTTGTTGAGCGGCGAGGCGGTCGTGAGGGATCCCAGAGGAGGGCCAGGCGTGTGTGTGCACATTCGGAGGAGTGATTAAGAAGAAATCAGCCATTACGAGACGGAGGGACCCATACGGCGGGTGAATACAGTGCTGTTCAGAGCCCAGAAAAGCGGACGACGATGGCTCCCACGGCTATAGCAAAGAAAGGGAAGGGCAAGAAACATGCCGACCCAGGCGAAACCTCCAAGCTGTTGGCTGCAAAGATATCCCAGCTCGAGCAAGATGCGGCTGGTGAAAAGGACCAGGAGGCGGAGATAGGTATGTTATCATTCTCCCTGTCTCCATCTTGTTTTTGCTGTCTCTTTTGTCCCGCTTGTGATTATTATACTGTCTTGTTTCTCTTTGCGCCTAAAGAGTGATTCATTCTAACCGCATGGCCGTCTCTTCCTTTTTTTCTGGCCGACGTGATTATCTACAGAGCGCGAGGTCAAAAAGGCTACCAGAGACCTAAACCAACTACTAAGCACTATCGAGTCACCAATGACCCGTCTTGAGACTGTGCACAAGAAGTATACGGAACTCCTGGCAGAGATGAAAAAGCTGGACCGTGACCACAACAAGAGCAAGAAGCGTGCAGACCAGCTGCAAAAGGACCAGGACAAGGGGAAATCCGAGCTGAACAAGACGGTTACCATGAAGGACAAGCTCGAGAAGCTGTGTAGAGAGTTAACCAAGGAGAACAAGAAAGTCAAAGTGCGTTTACCCCGGGAATTGTGGCCGGATTTGATGTATATGTGTGTATACCAAAGGGCGGATATTGATCGATAAGACAGGATGAAAACAAAAGGCTTGATGATACCGAAAGACGAGCCCGCGGCATTGTGAATGAACGTCTGGACTCCTTGCTCTTCGACATCCAGGATGTGATGGCAGCCAAGGGAAGCTCCAGAGTGGAAAATGTCGATATCGACCTTGACGAAGCGTATGTTTCTCTCCTCTTTTTTTTTTTTTCCTTTTTCCTTTTCGAGTTTTTATTCAATATTGGATATTGACTTTTTGATAGCCTCCGCGCAAAGATAAAGACCATTGGAGAACAGTTTGAATCTCGAGAGCTGCATTACAAGGCTATTTTGCGCAGCAAAGACGCTGAAATCCAAAGTCTTACTGCCAAATATGAAGAGCAACGGCGCAGTGCAGAAAACGAAGCCGCTAGATGCCGGGCCCTGAGCACGCAGGTTTCAACTTTCTCGCAGACCGAGGCCGAACTTCGCAGCCAGCTTAACATCTACGTCGAAAAATTCAAGCAGGTATGGCAGCGCCATTTGATCATCAAGCGTCTTCTTCCATGACGAAAATATAGCTGCCACAGATGCTAAAACCGATGTTCACTCAGGTTGAAGATACCCTTAACAATAGCAACGAACTATTCCTAACATTCCGAAAGGAAATGGAGGACATGTCAAAGAAAACCAAACGGCTGGAAAAGGAGAATCTAACCCTGACTCGCAAACATGACCAGACAAACAGGAACATCCTCGAAATGGCCGAGGAGCGCACGCGCAACAACGAAGAGCTCGAGAAATGGCGCAAGAAGAGTAACAGCCTTGAAGCCCTTTGCCGGCGAATGCAGCAACAAGGCCGTGGCCACGCCGTCGAAGGTGAGCTAGACGTGGACGATGAAGGCACCGAGAGCGAGTATGAGGAGTACGACGACGAAGACGAGGAAGACCTAAGTGAGGACGGCGAATATCACTCTCACGGGGAGGGCGAGCAACCCCATCACCATCAGCATCCAGCCGCAAGCGGAGCTCAGCCGACGAAGCCCGTCTTTGGCCCGCCGCCGCCTCCCACCATGATCGAGGCTCGATCAAATGGGAATCTCCCTGTCATGAATGGATACATGCATTAACCCGTGGCCCCGATCACGCACCGCATTGTAGAGTAATATGAACCAAAAAAGCACAACCCCCCAAAAAAGAGGTAAAAAACGAAAAAGATAAAAGGTAGGGGAGATTGTGTGTGTGTGTGTGTCTGTGTGCGTGATTGATTGAATCCATGCGAGGTTGACAGAGTACTGATGGCCAACCCTTGGAGCGGGCCATTTGATATATTGAACGATACGGTCCAAGGGGGTGAATCGATACCTCTGCCTTGGATGCCATGCACCATAGCCCATTACCAACCAACCCACTGTCTGCCACATCTTGAGCTCTCCCCGTTAGTTAGAAATGTTTTGCGTAACGATTTTGTTCATCTACTTCTTCTCTACTGTTCTCCAGTCCCCTGATCCGCCAGTCAAGTAAGTCGCCGTAGTCATTATCATTGGTACTTGTATCAAGTAAAGGCCCGCCTTCTGGCCTGGCGTATTCCTGATATATTCCACCTATCTAGTGCTGGACTGCCAGGGAGGTTAGGTATAAGATCAATTAGCCTGCTATATGTATACAAACAAACAATATAGACGGGTCACAGCTTGCTGCCCTGCCTATCCCCCATGTACGAGCATCCCAGCTCCAGCATCTGCCGGGCTTCGGCCACCATGGAGTCGACGATGTCTTTGGCTGGCTTGATATCCTTGACGACGGCCGCAACCTGGCCCATGAGAAAGGGGAAATCGATCTCCTTGTCCTCCTCCATGTCCTTCATCAGCGGCACAATGCCGTTCTTCGTCAGACGCAGGATCTCCTCCGGCTTGCTTTCCCATTCTCGGATGTAGTCGTTCTCTCGACACCGCAGCGGCCGGCCAGATATCACCAGCGTCCGGACAGTGTCCCCAAAGCCGGCACTCACCACGGCCTCCTTGTGCAGCTGGCTGGCACCGCTCTCCTCCGCAGCAACGAACCGAGTGCCGACCCAGACGCCAGCAGCCCCCAGCATCAGCGAGGCGGCCAGGCTGCGGCCGTCGTTGACGCCGCCGGCAGCGACAACAAGCGGCGTCTTGCCCGTCAGCGGGCTGCGGTACTTGCGGCAGACGTCCACGACGGCCGGTATCAGGATCGAGAAGGGGATGTCCCCTGTATGGCCGCCTCCCTCTCCCCCCTGGGCGCGTATGATGTCCACGCCCGCCTGCAACGCCTTCTCGGCATGTCTGGGAGCGCCCACCATGTTCATGATCAGGATGCCGGCCTCATGCAGGCGCTTGATGGTATGGGCTGGCGGGATGCCGACGGCAGAGACAAACAGCTTTGCGCCGTGCTTGATGGTCACTTCGATCAGCTCATCGAGCTGGCCGTGGGTATAGTCATGGTTGGTAGCTCGAGCGCCGTCGCCGACCTTGGGCAGCGCCAGGTCCACGCCAAACGGCAGGCCGGGATCCTTGAGATGCGACTTCAGCTCGACCAGCATCTCCTCGAGCTGTGCTGGGCTGTAGCCGAGTCCCCCGATGGTGCCGAGTCCGCCGGCATTGGAGACGGCGGCCGCCAGTGGGCCGCCAGAGGTGCGCGCCATGCCAGCGAGGAGGATGGGATGCTGGATGCCGAGGAGCTCGCATAGGGGAGTTTTAATAGGGGATGCCATGTTTATTTTCTGTTGCTGTAGCTATGTCATTGAATGTTTATTGAATAGAGAGCCGTCCAAGTGACTGAAGATGATAAAAGACACACGTAGAGATGCATCAGGTTGTATTGATCGCCAGCTGCCGCTACATATCTAGCTAAGCAAAGTCTACCAAATCCTGAGATGCCGCGGCTCCGCATTCCCATGAGACGCCGGGCTGCCGTCGCTTACTAGGTACACCCCGGATGCCCACCCTGTGAACCGCTTCCCTCGGCTTGAGTTGTATGATGTCGCACTAAAAGGACGTTAGTACGGAGTAAGTCTCTTCTCCTCTGCTGGGTCACTTGTTGAAGGCATGAGGCTCATGCATGAATAGTTAGCCTAACTAGTTAGCTGCTATGCCCACTGCTCTGTAGAGAGAGAGTCTATCTTGACAAGGGCTCTAGACTCCTTGCGAACAGGGATCATGCTAAAATCCTCGATTGAAATGCCGCAGAGCTCGCTAAGCAGCCTTTCTGTCACCAGTTTGTTTCTGCAGTCAGTAAGTCTCCTGCTCTGACCTAGGCAACTCCCAAGAGCATCTTCTCCGGAATTTGAGAAGAGGTGGCCTACATTTCCCTAGACCAATCGATTGACTCCTCCGTGAGGTAGAGCGAGTTGTCAAGGAGTTTGAAGGCTGGGACAGCTGGGGTGCGCCGACGAATGGCTTTTCCATGGGCTAGTGCGGCCAAAGTAGTTATACCAATCCACCAAGGGACGGGGTGAAGTTAGCTTTTGACAGATGGCCAGTCTGCACCCTAAGCAGACAGTAGATGGAGAGAGAAGGAAATACAAGACCTGTAGAGAGCCCAGCAGTGAGTTAGATAGCCCGCCGAGGCCGCCGAGTGAATACCAAAAGCTGCTCGATGTCGCGAAGTCGATGAAGTCGAAGTCGTGAATTAGTTAAAACAGTGAATGTCCACGTGACTGCGGCTTATTGGAACTTAAATGGAGTTCGCGTTCTTTTTGCGCGTCGAGCTTGAAGATGCAAAAAAGCGCCGGCTGGCTGGTGGTTAAAGTAGCTGAGGCCGCAGCAGAAGAGCGTTGCTAAGGAACAAGACGGGGGCTGGGGAGCTGATACAGCGCAAAGGGAGATAGTTCTTGGTGGTTTTGCTGCGATTGGCCTCATACATGGCCATGGAGGACCCCGCGGAGGCCTTCCTCTGCCCGCCGCTGTAAGTCGGGCTTCTTCACCCTTGACCTCCCAAGCCGTTTGGCGATCCTCTTACTGACACTCCTCTGCAGTGACGATGACTCTCCCGAGACCCAGTTCCGTGAAACCTCGCTATACAACCCCATGGGCACATTCCGGCTGGCTCCCGGCGCAGCAAGACACTACCAGCAGCAATACTCGGACATCTACTTCCTACGGCTGACAAGACTCAAGCCGGCGGTTGCGGAGGTTGCAAAGGCCGCCTGGGAAGGCTATAATGTACGTGTGATTCCCAGTTGAGCGCAGCAGAGCTCGGTCCCATACCCATCTAAAAGTAGGTTCAAAGCAACATGAGCAGCAAAGATGGACTTGGGCTCGGACTGTAGCTACTCGAAAGAAGATGCTAATCTTCTCTTTTATGTCGGTTAGATTGCTGGAGAGTATGCGCGAAGGGTTGATCGAGTGCTCGATGTCCGCCAGGGCAAACTGTCGTGGATCGTGGGGACGGTTTACATGGACCTTCCGTTAAAACCCAGTATCATGGACGACATCTCTAAAGAGGTAATGCGTGCTCCATCTTGCAGCAGTGAACAATTGTGGCTTATTCTGACTGCTACTTTTAAATCGCTAGAACTGGACTGCGGCCCCTGTACCACAAAAGACATATAACGATCCCAACAGCAAAAAGCCTACCCAGACAATGGTGGAAGATGAATCGGGAAGGCTGGTGCTTACAGGGAGTCTACTGCAATCTACCTTCCTAGTCACCGGAGTTGTCGTTGCAGTCCTCGGGACAGAGAACGCGGACGGTCAATTTGAAGTGGTTGATATCAAGGTCCCGGATATACCCCCACAGCCTGCGCGATGGGAGAGAGAGCAGGAACCTACTACAGATGTCGGTGTACCGGCAAAGCGCAAACACAGTGATCTAGAAGCGGGTGGCAGTGGATCTGGAAAGAGCAAGAAAATTGCATTCGTCAGTGGGTTGGGCATCACTGGCACTTCTGGGGATACAGTGGCCCTGTCCCTCCTCGCAGATTACCTCCTCGGTTATACCGGAACCATCCCCAGCACAGATGATTACACCGCAACCAATCCCTCTCAGATTTCACGCCTTATCATCGCGGGAAACTCCCTGGGTGCTAAAGTTGCCTCTACCGTCAATGATGCTGCTAACCCGGAAAAGCGTCAGCCAAAAAAGTATGGCTACGATGCATCGGCTTACAATGCCTCGCCAATTACTCTTTTTGACAGCTTTCTCTCTGATATACTCCCAAGTATCCCCGTGACCCTGATGCCGGGTGAGACGGACCCTGCAAACTTCTCTCTGCCACAGCAGGAAATTCATACCGCTATGCTTCCTCGGTCGAAAATATACTGTCCTCCCATAGCGCCCAAAAGACAGGCCCTACCATCTGAGCCTGGCTGGTTAGACAACGTCACCAACCCTTGGGAAGGAGATATTGAGGGATGGAGGTTTTGGGGTACTAGTGGACAGAATGTCGATGATGTTCTCCGATACGTCAATCTTGAAGAATTAGAGGACGACGAAGTTGAAGATATAGAGAATGGCGCGCGGCTTAAGCTAATGGAACACTTGCTTAAATGGCGCTGCGGCGTCCCGACTGCGCCTGACACTATATGTAAGTCTCCATCACATAACGCCCACCATGCAGCAGGCTCCTTACTAACTGTCGATCCAGGGTGCTATCCGTACCAGGACAAAGATCCATTTGTCATACAATCGTGTCCGCATGTATTCTTCACAGGGAATCAGCCACGTTTCCAATCTACTATTTTCGAAGGTGGTGACTGGGGAACTGACGAGGACAGCATCACAAAAGTCAGACTAATAGCCCTGCCCAAGTTCCACGAAACCGGAGAGATAGTTCTGCTAGATACCGAGACTCTGGCCGTTGAGGTCGTCAAGTTTGGTACTGTAACAAAAGCCGGTACCGCTGAAAAGGAGGAAGAAATGCCTGATGCGTCATGAATATTGATGATTTTGCCTAGCAAGCGCCTCTACAAACAATACATACAACTCTAAACAACATGTTAATTTAGAGCTTTCCACACTGGAATATAGTAGCGAAGCAGAAATGCTCTACTCGGATGTATTGCAATCCACTGACTAGTTATCAAGTAGAAAGCCTGTAGTTTTCCTGCTAGCTAGGGTTAACTAACTAGTTATCTAACGCCCAACTATCAAATTCACTACCTAAAGTTAGCCACAACCAACTCTATTACTTCTTTTTCAACGTCGTCCTTAACATATGGCCCAATATCCCACGAAAAGCTACTGGAAAAGCGACACAAGATGCTCATAAATGAGAATACATGTAAATATATACCGTTTGGTTTGACTCAACGATTAAAGCGGGGCCAGGGTTTTTGAACTCCTAGCTAATTAATACTTTATAGGCGTGTCCTCTTCGAGGGTTCTTCTGGTGCCATACTCAAAGCACCATGTACCAAGATACCATGAATGGATGAAAGATCCTGTATGATTCCCCTGATGCACTGGAAATTCTCAAAACATCAACGCTGTTCATTACGGATAGAGGTTATACGGCCTGGAGTGTGACGCTGACTCCTCCATGTCAGGATATCAGGAGATACAAGAAGCTACAGCATCAGAACCCCTTACTCTAGAAGAAGAGTATCAGATGCAACAGAGCTGGAGGCAAGATGCAGACAAGTTGACATTCATCACTTGCCAACCCATACCCTTGACGTCTACTGCTTCCGGTGAGGCAGACGCTTCGGAGTCATCCCAAGCCGCGAGCTCTTATAAAATCAAACCTACGGATGACGACACTCCTGACCGGATGATAGGAGACGTGAATCTGTTTTTGAAGTTGGAAGAACACGGTAGCAATGACCAGGAACTGGACAACGCACCAGAAGAAGTGGTCGTGGGCGAGCTAGAACTAATGATCGCGGAAAAGCATCTGCAACGAAGAGGCTTCGGGAGGGCAAGCCTGATCTGTTTCTTGAATTATGTGGTCACTCATATGGACCAAGTTCTATCTGAATACCAGGGCCATACTGGATCTATGAAAGCAGGAGGACCTGAGATTATAGCAGCTAAGAGACTTGAATATTTCGTGGTTAGAATCGCAGCCAGCAACGAGAGAAGTGTGGCTCTCTTCAAGAGCCTTGGTTTTACTGCTGTATCGGATGAGCCGAATGTTTTTGGGGAATTGGAATTAAGGAAGTACGGTCTAGAAGACTCAGGGGAACTGCAGGTATGGATGAAGCATTACGGAATAGATGCATATAGAGAGCTAGCTTATAGCTGAGCATAGTTTGGGCTTTTAGAATTTGAGATTTAAGAGTCCCTCAGTCGAGCTGTGAATGTATAGCTTCATCTAGCAAGCTGCTGTACTGATCGGCCCGGCATTACTCCTTGAAAAGTTGAGTACACTGAAGACGTATTTTCTACAGCCCCTAACACACGATGCTGGCCCTAATCATTAACATATGTAATACCTCATCGAGAGCTCGTAGTAGGCTATTTATATGATATGCTGTGCTGCATGCAAAAAGTGTAGTATGGATATGCTTGTGGATAAAGCCCTGGCCGTAAGTTTCAGGTAGGGAGAAATTCATTGGGATATCATAAGAATGAGACAATTCGGGATCGGAGACGCGGTTATGGCGTGTTCTCGGCTGTAATTACATCAATTGGCTTCGCCAATGCACAACGAATCTCCTTGGATTATGTGCTGGACCTTTTCACGCTTTCATCCATCCAATCCTCCCGATGTAAGACCATGCCCTCCCGCATTATATTCTTTTTTTTTTATGCGACAGCACCACCCCTCAATTCACCCAATCTCTATATCTAGGTGGACTTCTTCTTGGTACCCTTGGAGACATCGATAATTTTCAGGGCTAAAAAATGAAATAGCCATCAGTAAACCAGTTCAACCGGCGCGGATGCACTAACTTTTCCCTTCATTACACTGTTGTATGTCGAATAGCACGTACCAGGTGGTAAGCTCTGCTTGAGCTTGTCTGCCTTATCGGCGTCTCTGAGAATGAGGGTGTACAAGAATCGGTTGCATCGGACCTTGAACTTGATCTGCTGGGTAGAGCGGTTGCGCTTAATGCGAGCAGCTAAAGGAGATGAGAATCAGCCAGCATGACCTTTGATTAAACTGCTATATCCAACGCAGATAAAGCATGTTTCGTGAATGGCACTGGACAGTATATCAAAACACAATCTCGATATAGGGCAACACATACAGGAAGCGTCCTTCCGTCGGCAGATCTCAATGAACTGCTTGATATCGGAGACTTCGGAAGGCATGGTGGGCGATGAGTACGAGTATGCGGTCGTTGTTTAATGGCCGGGTGGTGTCGAATGAATGAACCTCGCTGTCGCTAGTCGTCCTTCCTAAAGGTCGAAAATATTGATTGTGTGCGAACTTCAATTAGGGTTTCGCGACGGTGGAGCCCTGGTTTATCGCCAAATCAGGATACGGGCGCTTGTGTTGGCGCCTAAGGCGTTTAGGATCCCAGATCGGGGTTAGCTCAGGCAGCTGCATTAACCCTGGGACTTGATAACAACTGGCCATAAGGATCTGGATGTAGAAGATGAATATATAGAGGCCTTCTCCTCCATTCATCTCCCATACCATACTTTAAATTGTTCCATATTTTATCAAAACTAGTTATATATCAATAAGACAATGCCTACGCCGCTAGACAAAGCTCTGCAGTCTAAGGTACGACCTCCGTCAAAGTATATTACACAACTGTACTAACGCCTCAAAGAACCTACTTGTCGGTAAATAGATGGTGCCCGGCAAAAATAAATAGTGTTTGAATAACCGTTTATCTAGGGTTCGTTGGTCTTGTGACAGCCGCTGCAGTATGGAGTATATGGGGAAGTGAAATGTTCCCCGCTGAAGCCGATCCAACTGGAGGTAAGTTTTCTGGCATCGATCGCGCCTCTATCATTACTACCAACATCTAACGGAATCTCCAAGTAGATCCTGAATATTGGACGTTTGACGAGCTACGGAGGTGGCTCCGAGTGGTAAGCCGGTTTCCATTTCCAAATGGCGTCGGTGTATAGGGGCTTGAAGTCCGAAGCTGATATAGCTGCCATATAATAGCGTGGTCTGCTTCCTAATGAGCAGGCTTCAAGAGAAGAGTTGTTAGAGAGGGTAAAAGCCAATATGAGGCCTTAGCTCTGTGGGTATCATGTTGGTGGGCAAAGTAGTATTAGACTAAGGGAATGCTTGTTTGGAGTTTGGCGATTGAAGGAATATCTTCCCTTGCACCATATTGTAATGTCGTACCCAATAACTAGCCCTTAGATAAACCGAGCGGCTTGATAGCAACTTTCGCAGCGGAATCGGGTAGGCGGTAGAAAGCGCCTACGAGGATACGTGAGCCCTTAAACCCATCAAACAACGATCCTAAAGTTCTGACTCTGTATTAACCACTGTTTCCCCCGTGCTTTGGGCCCGCTGGACGCTTGTGGGTTTGGAATCAGGACAAAGGTCTCGCTGAACCCTCGATTTGGTGAATCCCAAGTTTCCTTTCCCTCTCCGAATTTCACATAACCGCTCACGATAACTAATATTGACATATTCTTCGCTGGATCTGAGGTATTGCGATTTGCGTTGGATCCAAAGGGACTAGCCACATTGTCCGTGGTGGCGGGTGGAATGGCCAGGTAATTCGGGTTGAGGACCTGGCAATCATACGACTGGACTTCGTAATGTGTAGGAGGCAGCTGGTTGACAAATATATCTTGAACCGAAGCACCGTCGGCTACGATATTGCCATTAAATAGAAGATTGGTTACTGTGGGAGCGTAGAAAGTGGAGAGCGTTGACCGGGCGTTGTCAAGGGCGGAGTAGTAGGTCTGAACAAAATTTGTAGTCGCTGGCACAATATAGTTAGCAGGCAATCAATAAATAACTTGATGAGCTGAGCTCTCACCATCTGTTGAGACTTTTGTGAGGACATCTTCTTGAATCGCGGCGGTCATGGTGCCTAGTGTCTGGGACGCTTGGTGTAAACCAGAAGGTATTATATATAGAGATAAATAGATGAGTGAAATATGTTTCAATAAGAAATAAACGCTATATCTTAAATGAAACAAAATAATAATACCTATTAGCCAAAGCAGTTGCAGGTTGAATGAAGTTTGATGTATCTGAATTTCATTGATAACGAATATTTTTAGTGTCAGGAGCTTGGACCATCATCGGCAAAATATTTATTCCAAAAACTTATGCGCAAACTCGCCAATGCGATTACTCTGACCATCCAGAGGAGCGAATCCGGGCTTTATGGGCCACAATGTTGAAAGCTGAGCTCCGGACATTCTCGCAGAGCTTGAGATTCAGGAAAACACAGCCAAACTCTTGGATATGCGGCTCATGTCGACAGACCAGAACCCCCTGGTGGCCTCTTAATCGCGGATATACAACCGAAGCAACACCTGGGACAAAACTAAAGCCATACTATGTCACAACGCCTATATTCTACGTCAATGCAGGTAGGCTTACAGATTAAAGGCTTGGTTAGGTATTGATAGCTAATTTTTGTGAATAGCACCACATATTGGCCACCTTTATACTATCCTTATCGCCGATATACTCAAACGATGGCAGGTCCTCCTCGGTAACGGCGATGCGAAGCTCCTGACGGGGACTGACGAGCATGGGATGAAGGTGCGAGTTGATAACGTATATGATAATGTGAAGGAACAAGGTGACTAATACGTCAGTTGCAGATTCAGCAAGCCGCGCTTCAGAATGGATTGGAGCCTCAGGCGCTTTGCGACAGGAATTGTGAAACATTCAAGGTCCGGTTATAACCCAACCTGCGCAATATACCTGGGGCTGTGGAGAGACTAATATATCTCAGGTACTGGCCAGAGAAGCAAATGCAAGCCATGACCACTTCATCAGAACAACTGATTCGGCGCATAAAGCTGCTGTACAGTTTTTTTGGGTATAGATACTCCTTTTCGAATCTCCATGGGCCTTTTTACCAACGTTGTTGTAGGAAAACCTTAACCACCGTGGTTATATCTATGAAGGCAAGCATGAAGGCTGGTACTCTGTTAGTGACGAGACGTTCTATCCAGCCTCTGCCGTACATTCAACACTTGATCCAGCAACCGGGCGGAAAATGATGGTAAATATAAACTTGCTCCTTTGATGGCGTAGAGGCTGACTCTGCTGTTAAGGCCTCAATTGAAACAGGAAAAGAGGTAAAATTTTCACAGGAAACGAACTACCATTTCAAACTGTCCGCATTTCAAGATCGATTACTAGAGCATTACCGTAAGAATCCAAAATTCATTCAGCCAAAGGTGTATATGGATAGTATAGTACAGAATGTTGCGTCTGGACTCCAGGATCTGTCTATTTCTCGCCCCGTCGACCGGCTCTCATGGGGAATCCCCGTCCCCGGAGATACGACACAAACCATATATGTTTGGTTGGACGCTTTGGTCAACTATATCACCTATGCAGGATACCCTTTCACCCCCGGTCGCGAGCAAGAGTCGATATGGCCTGCAGATGTCCATGTCGTGGGCAAAGATATCACGAGGTGCGCTATTCGCATGAAAGCTTTTAATACTCATAGATATCAACTAATACCATTTAGGTTCCATTGTATTTACTGGCCAGCTTTCCTGATGGCACTGGACCTGCCATTACCCCGGACCATCTTGACACACGCACATTGGACGATGAACCACTCGAAAATGTCCAAATCTACCGGTAACGTGGTCAACCCAATGTTTGCCATGGCACGATACGGTGTAGACCCGATGAGGTTTTACTTGGCTATGAACGGGGGTCTTGCTAGCGATACGGATTACGACAATTCGTATATCGTACGAGACTACAAAAACGTCCTGCAAGGCGGGCTAGGCAATCTTTGTAGTCGGGTGATGCGAGGCAAAGGATGGAATGTGAGAGAGAGCGTTGTCAAGATGACGAATGGGCAGGGCAGCAGAAGAGCCAAAGATCCATCTGAAATTGAGCACATGGAGTTTCTGGAGAAGGTCCCAGGCCTTGTGTCCAACCAGATGGATGAATTGAACCCTCGCCGCGCACTGGAGGAGATAGTGAAGATCATTGACCAGGTGAGTTGTCATTTCCGACCCTCCCACCGATTATGATTACTCTTTCTTGTCGGACGTATTGCAAGTCTAACAAGAATGACGGTGTAGACAAATAGATATGTCCAAAGCACTGGACCATGGAACCTCGCGAAGGAGGCGGGCACTGACCCGACGGCACACGACCAGTTGGTTGGAGTAATCTACAATGCAACCGAGTCTCTCCGCATTGCCGGCATCCTCCTGCAGCCTTTCATGCCCGAGAAGGCTAAGAAGCTACTCGACATGCTCGGTGTAGAGGAAGACCTCAGCAAGCGGTCATATGCTGCCGCAAAGTATGGGGCTGATCCTGACTATGGGACGCCCAGGGTGCCGCTAGGAAAAGGGCAGGCAGGGACGCTATTCCCACCGCTGTTGAGCGAAGAATGATGTATCTCATAACGGAACGGGGATTCCCCTAGATCTTCTTGTGAGAACCTCTTGTATGTATGTATATCTGTACGCTTAGAGTGCTATTGACTGCTGTACGATAGAGATTAAAGCCTATAGAGAGCCGCAATTATATAATTTTGCACCCAATGGTTAACTTGCTCATGTGACAACTAAATTAGGTACCTCCAAGGTGACCATCACCAACCCCAACGTCAAGCCCTCACGTCTTACCCCGAAAGCCACAGATGAAAAACACCCCATACTTGAGTGTGACGGTCAGCCAGACCCGAATACCACCCCCAGGACTATCTAAAGAGGCGATCCAATAGTCCGAGCTAAAAGACTGCTTAAACCGAGATACGAGACAGCAGATTCGCTCGGCCCTACCCGCCGGCCCTTGGACGTCCATCCCGCAACCACTCCTCCACATGACGAGAAACTCATCTCGCATGTCCCCCAGTGTTTTTCTGCTGAGATAGAGAGACCGGTCAGGGGTTGAAGAGACCACCAGGTAAGCAGAAAGAGCCCAACAAAATCCTTGGGGCTTCTGTTCGAGATCAACCCCAGCTGAAAACAGCCGGCATCCCATCCAATACGCGTATTCTATTTATATCATGTGCTGACATGGTTCGACGTTGCTTGACCATATCCGTCTCAGAGGAAAGCCGGCAAATGTACAGAGTATTTGGTCTATCTACGGAGCCAACAAGCCCCCTACAATGCCCCAATTGACAGCTGTGGTACATTACCGAGACCGTCTGATCTAGACTTCGGCTAATCCTATCATCCGCCCATGGGCGATGGTGTGCATTATATGGATCAGCTGACTAGAAAAAGGACAAAGAAGTAAAAGGAGAAGAAACAAGAATGAAGAAAGACGATTTGGAGAAATGAAGAAGCAAAAATTGCCAGGTCACACGTCCCCATTATTACACCCATGCAGTGCAAAGGACCAGATCTGGACATCGGTAGCCGCGCCCGAGTCCAGCCGGGAAGAAGGATGCAGAAGAAAAACAAGCAAGCAAGCAAGATGCACGTAATAGTCTCAACGTTACATGTCCTGCGAGCTGGATGGGCCGTGCTAAGAGCAAGAGACAACAAGGAAGGCCACTGGGTCGTTTTGACCGACTCGGCGATTTGTTCTCAAGGCCCTCCATCCCGTTTCTCCATGATCGACTACGAGAGGGCGTCTGGACTGGGCAATCAGCCGCCCCCCCAGGCACCCATCTGACCATGCCCAGCAGCTTACGGGGTACGGGGTAGACGACGCGCAAAGTATTCTCCGACAGAGCGATCTTGCTGAGGATCTCGGATTGGGGATGATATCGGCGGTTTGGCCTGGATCTCGCGGTCCTGCTGCGTCCGCCGCCCTGAAAACTATCTGCTTATGCTGAGCATGAACATCGATATATGCCACATCCTTACGTGTGTCTCTATATGCCTGTCGGTCCCTCGCGAACCGTCAGTAATATCCAGCCGATATATCAAAACTCGCCATCAACGGCTTTATATATCGAAGCCATCTTTTTGCCGTGCTCGCTTCGGCCGAATGTAGGCAAAACACGTGCCCGGGAAACTGCCCCTCGGTATCCCGCGGGAAACTTGGCTGGGCCCTCGGGAAACGCAAACTGTGGGGCGTGCCTGGATCTTGCGCAGCTTATGTCAGCACTCACAAACGCTGGTAGGAAAAAAAAAAAAGAAAAAGAAAAAGGAAAAAAAAAAAAAACAAATAATAATAATAACACGGCGAAGCGATGACGATGGCGGCGACAGAGCTCGATGTTATTATTAAGTATATCCAGACGGCAGCAGAAGCTTGCGGCGAAGAAGCAAAGGGGCAGCGCTTTTTCCTTTTGATATGCCGGCATCTTCCTGGTTGGCCATGCATGGCTGGACGCTGGGCTTGTGCCTAAATCCCCGAGCTTCCCTGGCCAGAGTTTGCTCGATCTAGCGCTCCCGGCCGTTAGGGGGTGGCCGGCACCCTGGGGACGCGATGGGGGGTTGAAAAAAATCTGGAAGATGGCAAAAGTTGGAGAAGTTGGAGAAGTACGGAGTCTGGCTGTATAAGAAGAAGCTCCCGCCGGCCCCGGGATTCTGTCTTGTTCGTGAGGCGGAGTTCCAGGGCTTCCGCTGTCGCATCCTTATCCACTTCTGCCACTTCCCGTACCAAAGTTTGTTCGAGTTGATGACAGTATCCCGTTTCCCGCCCGGATATCTACCTTGAAGGTTTTACATTTATACATACCAGCGCCCGGACGGTTCATACCAGACTTTTATTATTTTTATTATTTTTATTCTTTTGAGACCTGTCCTCTGTCTAGTCTGCTTTCTTTCCAATAATTCTTTCGTTGCTGTTGATATCTCTGTTCAACCAGATATCACTCCGTCCGCCGCAATGGGAAGCATCGAGGAGCCCAAGAAGCAGCAGCGTCTGCGCTTGCCATGGATTGAGACTCCTTTGATTGAGTCCACCAGTCTGTCCAAAGCTGCCGGATGGTATGAATCTTGCATGCCGGGTCTCTAAAGAAACAAACAAATAGACAGAAGACTAACTGATTGGTCATGTACAGCCGAGTTTTCCTCAAACTTGACAACCTCCAGCCCAGCGGCTCTTTCAAGTCTCGCGGCATTGGAAATCTTGTCCGTAGCCATGCTGCAGACCCGGCAAACAAGGGCAAACGGTTGCACTTCTTCATCCCCTCAGCTGGAAATGCTGGGTTGGGAGCTGCATTTGCAGCCTCTGCTCTCAGCTACCCTTGCACTGTTACTGTGCCCCTCAACACCAAGCCGGTCATGGTCAAGAAGTTGCAGCAGGCTGGTGCCCGTGTCGTCCAGCACGGAGTCAACCTGGATGAAGCAGCTGTTCGCATGCGTGAGATGATGAAAGAGCTTAGTGACCACCCAACCCCTGGCGGCACTGAGGTTGTCGCGATCGAATTACACCCATTTGACCGCCAGCAAATCTGGGAAGGCGTCAGCAGCATGTCAGATGAACTCGCATACCAACTGCCTCCGGCTGAAGAGAACGACCCTTGTCTCCATAAAGCGCTTCCTTGCGATGCTATCGTCTGCTCCGTGGGCGGTGGCGGCCTCATGAATGGCCTCATTATGGGAATTGAGCGCCAGGCTCCTATGCTCGAAGCTTCTGCCAACAACGCTTCTACCAACGGTACAACATCCGCAACTACCACCTCCACCAGAGACGACAACATCCATATCATTGCTACAGAGACCCGCGGCGCTCATTCCCTCGCCACATCTATCGAAAAGGGTTCCCTTACATCCCTCCCAAAGATCTCATCGGCCGCCTCTTCACTCGGTGTCCTCCGCATATCTCAAAAGACTTGGGACTACTACAATTCTCCCCCCAAGGGCATCAAGACTCACTCCCTCGTTCTCTCGGATGCGGACGCAGCCCGTGGATGCCTTCGCCTGGCAGAAGATGAGAAGATCCTTGTTGAACTTGCTTGCGGTGTCTCTGTTGAGGCTGCCTTTGGACCCCATCACCAACCCGAAACCGATGCGCCGCCCGCAAAGAAAGTCAAGCTCAGTTCTGAGGGTAGCGCACCAGCCACAAACGGAGAGACAGTCGTTCCAGGAATAAACAAGACGTTCCTTCAGCAGCTCATCCCCAACTTTGGACCCCAGACCAGAGTTGTCGTTGTCGTTTGTGGAGGAAGCAATGTCTCCCTCAGTATGGCTGCCGAGTGGAGAGAGAAGCTCGATGCTGGCTGGGGAAGCGATGATCCAGGCAGCATTGTTGTTCCACCCACTTCTGCATAGACATGATACCAATTTTCCTCCTTAATTGTTTTGTCTCTTTTTCTTTCTTTTTTGTTTCTACATGCCTGGTGTATATATAACAGGCTTCCTTTTAATGATGGCTTGACATGACGGGGTTATGGCGTTGGCGGGAGTTTCCAAAAAATATCCGGGGTCACGGGACTGTCTTACTACACACCCTTTTGCATCGTTTTTGTGATTATATGAGCCGTTGTTTTCTTTAATTACGCCCCTACCCTTTTTCTACCATCACTGTGTATAGATAACAGTGTGTCATTTCTATCCCCCGTCCCTATATTTTCTTTGACCTTTGGTGTTGATACACAAAACATCCGCACATAATCCTCGCGAGAGGGAGATAGAAAATAGAGACTGAATACATAATTTCACTGCTATCTTCTCAAACCCCTACTTGTCCATTGATCTAATCCGGTATTCCCAGTAATTCCTCCTGATTGGATCATATTTATCCTTCAATAGCGTAAACATCTGCACCGCGTTGTTCTTTGCCTCAGCCTCATGCGCCTGCTCGGCATATATGTCGCCCAGCCACTCCAACGCATGGCTGCTCTTGACCAAGAACTCACCCTGACCCTCCTCAACGACTTCTTCAACGACAAACCGTTCTGCAAAGCCCTTGAGATCCGCCAAGCCTCTGCCTGCAGCCTTAAGCACACCTCGCAGATACGCCCACGGGCTTCGGTTCTCAGGAGCCAGCACAATCTTCTTTTTTACATACTCAACCTCCCCATCAACCATTTCCTCGTCCACGACGACCATCTTGCCTGCACCGGCGCCACCAACACCGCCTGGGATTCCCACCCCAGGCAGTCCGCTGTCAAACCCCTCCCGCGGCGCAAATCGCATGATCCACCGATGGTTCCAGGCGGAGTTGTTCATCACATCCTCGTCAATCATTCTTTCTATATCCGCCAACTCAGCAGGGGAGTCCCACAGCTTGAAATGCCGCAGAAGCCAGTGTCTGTATGTCCAAACATGATAGTTCTTGGAGTCTAAAGCAAACATCTTCGCTAGAAACTCCAGTTCTCCCTCAGGCAAGGTAGGGAAGACAGATTCATTGGACATTATCACTTGGCGATGGTGCCTATAGGTATGCTGTTAGCGGTGTACGTCCTTGTCTGGCGGCATATGAGAATGGGGTATTCGCTACCATATCTGATAGCTCTTTAGATATTGAGTAGATAACTGGTCGAGCCAGGCAAGCTCAGCCTTTAGATCTTTTCCTAGAGCATTGAGTATTTGCGCTCTGTACAGCCTGTTAAAATGGCACACGGTCGTCAGTATAAATCCCCACATCAAAGCTTCCAATAGAAACAGCTATTAGACATACCAGACGGTATAATGGGCTGGGTTTGACCGAATCACATCTTCAGTCAATGCAAGAGCCCGGTCTGACATCTCGTTTGTAGCCATCACAGCTCGCAGATATGCTGTAGCCTCAGCATAGCTCTCTGAATAGGCGATCGTCGCAAGCGGCAACGTCTCGTTAGCCACGTTAGCAGTGGTCATAGCATCATCGCCAGCAGCATTTTCTCTGTCTGCCTGGGTAAAGCGGTTTGATCCATCATCCAAAGGGATGGGAGTAACTGATGCCCACGCGGGGTCGGAGTTGTACTTTGACATGGCAGGGTATTTGGGTTTTTATTTATTTCTTTGCATATTCCAGTGAGCAGCAACAGAGATGGGACTTGGGCATCCGCCAGGCAGACAGCGTAGGCTGAAGAGGCGGTTCGTGTTATTTTATATATCCAAAGCCGCACTCCAAGGCCGGCTCATGGAATGAATCGATGTTTTTGTATTGTTCGAACAAAGAAGCCGGACGGCACAATAGGCTGATTAGGTAATCAACTCTATAAAATACATCGAAGACATCAAAGACAGAAGAAGCAGAGATGGGAAGAGATCGAAGCAGTAGAAAAGAGATATTGATTATGTGGAGATGGACGATGGATTGTATTGGTAGCTACTGTGAAGTACTGGTCTAAAGAAAGGCGAAATCGGGGCGCGAAATGAAGCAAGAATTGAACGTCGTCTTCACTTCGTACACGGTTAGTTATTAGAAAGGCATAGGAGTATCAAGTATCGAAATGTCAGAAGGAAGAAGCATGCCAAAAGAAAAGGCATTGGAGAGCTCGCAAGACCCCGAACCAGTAGAGAATAGTCGAGCAAGCGTGGGGTTGACCGAAAATGTAGGGAAGAAAAGAAGTAGTCCATCTCCGTCGTCCACGGAGTCTATTCCAACCCCCCCCTTTATATCTATCCAGCATCAAGAGTATATCAATCAGGTTGAAGTCCCGCGTCTCCAGAACTTCCAGCCTTCTCTCTTCTCCCGCCCGCCAACACCGACAAGCTGTTCGATACCGCTGATACCAACGGCATTTTCGAACTTGATCTGATCTATTTCCTCGCCGCCCTCTTCGTCGGTGCCATTCTGGAGGACGGCAGGCCAGAGAACGCCCACCCCGTCTCCGCCTAGATAGGTTTCATAACGATCATAGCCCTCGTCGTCGAGTTGTTCTTCCAAATGTTCAATTGCTTCCTCGTTCCACTTGGCCTTGAATAAAGTGATGGTACATCCTCCTCCACCGGCGCCTGTCAGCTTCGTCCAACCAATATCAGCATGGTCGACCAATTCTCGGATCCGCTCTAGGCGAGGGTGAGAGACCCCCAGAGACACGAGCAGGCCATGGTTGATGCGGAATAGCTCTCCGAGGTGGTCTATCTTCTCACTGCAGTGTTCGTCAAAATCGTCTGAGGCGATGAGGCGGTATGCACTCTCAGTGGTGTGGTCGATGCTATCCAGGATAGACTCTGTCACGACTGGGTGTGCTTTCTTCAGCGCGGCAACTTTTGCAACTTCGACAGCTGTCGACCGAGGCTGGCGCGAGTTGATCAGGAGAAGCTTCATTTGCGGGAAGTCCAGCATCGGGGTGACGGTTGGTGGCTTGGAGTAGTCCCCTCTCCTGAATATGACAGCTTTGCCGCCGGTCGACACAGTGTTATCAACACCACTTGGGTTGCCGTGTATACACAACTCGCCCACAAACGCCCACCGGTTAATACGCTCGAGCTGCACTTCTGCCTCGTCCGGCGGCTGATCCTGGTGTGGTCCGGCCAGGATGCGGACCTGCAGCAGCAACGCTGTGCTCAGGCAGACAGAGACACTCGCGCTGCTCCCTAGTCCGGCTCCCACCGGTATCGTAGACCGTAGCGTGTAGATGGCAGCATGGGTCTTGGGCGACCCGAGCGAGAGGAAGAGGTAAAGGAACTGGTTGGCCGAGTGCTGGTGTATTTTTCGTACTTCTTCCGGCTTGTCCGACGAAACCATAGCAACATGGGGCTTGAGGGCCTCTAGCAGCTCCGGGTCCAGCTCGGTAACAGAATCGTAGTAGAATTTCTTCTTGGACGGGTGATGGAAGACATCCCACGGCAACGAGTCGATATCCCACGTAAAATCCAGCCCTATATCACGGAAATTCAGCGTAACCGTCCGGTGTGACTTCGACAACGTCGTGACAAGCAAGTAGGACCGCAGAGATATCGCGGCAGCCATTGCCTTTCTCCCATGCACGACTGCATGCTCTCCAAACACGATGACCTTGCCGGGCGCCGACACCATGAAGGGCGGCGCCATTGGCGACGACAGCTTCCTGCCCATCCTCGACTTGACGCTGAGTCTGCCTGGAGGGAGCCCTTCTATTCCCGATCGTACCGGCGAGGGCGTGATGGCCCCGTCTGAGCTGTCTACGGATTCATCGTCTGGCATGGTCATCTTCAGGCTGTGGCGGCCGTTGCGCTTCGATCGTACGGGTATATTGCTTTCAAACCGCTCAACCATGGTTGGCACAAAGCCTTTTTTTCTTTCTTTGCTCCTCCTCTCGAATCCAATTAAAGCTCTCTTGTGTTCCACCCCCCCTTTTTTGTGACCCTTTTGTTGCTCTGCTTCGCTCGACAGATTTAGTTACCGCGCGGGTGTTTTATCTGATGTTTCGGTTTCTCAACGTCGCATGGTCGCGCGGGGGAGCGTCAGGCAAGGCAGATGGATTTCGGAGGTCGCAGCAGCTTTTCTATTTATCTGGCTGTTCGTGTACTTTTAGATATTCGCCGAATCGTTCGTATATAATATAATAGCTTGACGGTCAGCTTGCGGTGGCACGCTGAGTATCTAGCTGGCGAGAGGATCAGCGAGAGAACCGAATGGAATCCAGGGAATTTGACACCGAAGCTGTATTTAACAGGCTGACGCTCTGCGCTCTGCAGGCCTCGTTTTTGTCCAAGGAATTGATAACTAGTCAAAATAGTTAAACGGTGGCGAGCAGCTGAAAGATGAGCTTCAGGCTTTGGGTTGAGGATGTTTTCTTTTTCCTCGTCTGGGATCGTCAGGCTGATAATTGATACTGATAACTAATGACCAAATAAATGATTAAACGATGATGATATCAAAAAAGGACAATTTATTTGATCTACCGAAATGCATACATAGAAAAATATATATAAACAAAATAAACAATAAACAAACCCTGTATATCTGAACGCTGGAAAGTTATGCAAAGACGTTACGGCAAAGGACTACGGAGATAGGCATATACCCATCACAGATTCATAGTAACAGTCACGCTGTTGCTGTGGACCAGGAGACATGGGGGAAGGCCGTCGCAGAGCACCTCGAGGTCGTCGACGTACGCTTCACAGGAGGCCTTGTCGTGGGAGACGCCTTCAACGGGGGTCGGCAAGGTGGTGAACACCACCGCCGTGTCCTTGCTCTGCGATTTGATCAGCTCGTTCAGTATCATATGCTGGGCACGGCCTGGCAGGTCGTTGAACGATAGAGGGACGGCCGCTTGGGAGGGATATCCAGATGCCCGTGGTTGGCTCTCCGTGTCTCCTTCAGCCGAAGTGACGGCGGGCTGGTTGGAGGTGCCAGAACTGCGGTTATATATCGATTCAAGGCCTGCGGCTGCGGCGCTTCCGCGGCGTGGAGGCGATGAATCTGCAAACATGATCGAGGGCCCGGTACCTTCTTCTGATACCACCTTCGTCGTCGGGATGGGGGCAGAAGAGAATTTGGCACTGGACGCAACCCGACCTTTCTTCATAAAAATTGCACGGGGTGAAGGTGTAGCCGCAGTAGATGCTCCTGTGGTTTCTTCCGTGGTTTCTTGTGGCTGATTGATTGTTGGAACGTCAGAGGCTGCCATTGGGTCGTCACCTTCTGGTTCATTCTCATTCTCGCTCTCGCTGAGGTAAGAATCCATATCACTCTCATCCGAAGACGACTCGTGTCCATCGGAATTGTACTCTACCATAGAATCCAGTAGTCGATGGGTCTGAATCCCGAGGCTGACTCCAGGCCCAATTGACCGTCTTCGAGATGACTCGATAACTCTCTTGAGACCTTCTAGCCCTGCGCGTCGTCTGCCTCCTTCACGCGGGGTCGTAGATCCAGATCCCGTTGGAGTCTGCCGCTGTGATCTGCTAGATCTAGAAGTCGTCCTATACCTTCCGAGTTCATTCCACCAGTCCTCCTCTTCCAACGCTTGTTCGACAGCGTCAAGCACGGCCTTGTCCACGTTATTTCTGTCTCCATTGACGATTACGCGGTAAGTTTGTAGATCCCCACTGGCAAGCCAGAATACCAGCACATCAGCACTTATTCGGAGCTTTTCGAGTAGAGTCATCACTCTTCGTCTTTCTTCCTCCACATCTGTCTCATACTCCACAAACACTGCCACTCGCAAACGGCATGATCGTTTCCAGGATGGGACAGTGTTCAGGATACAGCCAAGCTGCAGTATTAATGTGTATGTGTCAAAATTTGTTGTGAGATAGTTGGTACCCTTCTGCCTTCCATCTGACGATATCTCTCCAGACATCTGGATTGGCCATAGGTCTATGAACTTGGCCGGTGATTCATCATTCGTACCAGGAAGCTCAATATTCTCGAAACCTCTAGCAACTGCAACATTCATGCGTAGTTGGAATAGTAGATCCTCCAGGACCGTCAGGTAGCTCTGGACATTCATTGGCGGGTCTCTCTCGAACGAATCCGTTCTAGTTTTCCGGAGGGGTTCCCCTGCACCATCGCTGACATTTGAAGACGTACGTCTCGTCGGCCGTATTAGAGGGAGCCCAGGGTCGAGTGAAGCATCAGAGCTGTCCTTGCGGAATTGGTCTATTACAACCACATTGGGTCGCATTCCTCCCAGTCCGGCGCTTAAGACAACATTCCTGACACCCCATTCAATATTTGGTGCTGCTGTTATGTTTATAAAGGCTTTGACCTTTGAGAACTCAATGAACTTATTCCACGCCGTTTGCTCCTTTCTAACAACTGGAACAGCGGTTGCAAAGTCGTCCGTGACTAGAACACGGCCAAGCACAAAAAGAGCGCCTTTCTTCAACGAATTGCAAAAATGGATCATCCTATACTGCGATTCGAAATTGTTCACGAATAAGAGGATCTGTGGTCGCCAGAACTTGACATGCTCAGGTCGAAGGCGGAGTAGATATTTGCGGACCTGGTGGTAAATGAGACTTTGGCTGACATCTCCCCACGTTTTCGGGGGAGCCATATAGTGGATTAGGAGGAAGAGTGTCACCAGAACGCAAACACATCCTGTAGCGTACACCCCATCGGTGAAAAACATACTGGCTCCACTGATAATTGTTCCAACAAATGCAGTTGTGGAATTAAAGTAGTGAAATGACGGCCTGAAGTTCGGGGCGGATCCAATTTTGAGCAAGAAACAAGCCAGGTTAGTGACTAGGAAGGTCATCAAGTATGCCATGGAAACGAAAGAGGCGATCTGGTTGATATCGAAGAATATAGTAATCTGAGCTATTGCAAGGGTGATGAGAATAGAGGTGATGGGGTCATCATTTTTCTTGGTCCCCTTTGCAAAGATTGATAACCCGGGTAGAAGGGCATCCCGTGCGATGGCCTGGAGTACTTTTGCAGCACCAATAATGCCCATCAGAGACGAGAAAAATGAGGTTGAAAACTCTCCAAGAACAATAAGGAATCCGGACATATTTGTCTACGGTCAGAGTTTAGTAAGAGGATTCATTCAAAAACGATAGGAGGGATATGATATGACTAACATCTTGGATAATGTTAACATCCCTATAGAGCGACTCCCTCGTAACGCTTGCTGCCAAGGTGAGAATAACGATCGTATAGGTAGAGAACGTGAGGGCTAGACCATAAAGAGTTCCTTTCGGGATAGATCTACTTGGGTTCTTAAGGTCACCGGACATACTCGTACCACTGTAAAGCATAAAGTTAGCAAATTAGATACCAGAAATGAGAGGTCTAGGGGTAGAACGAACGCAAATATTCCGGATGTTGCAGGGAAGAGAATTCCGAACAGATCTTGAAAGTTTTCTCGCCTCTTAATCTGACTTCCGGCGGCACCTTTAGTAAGGCGTGGGTATAGATTATCGAAGAATGATACGCTGCTAAATCCGGTAAATTCAATGCCTAGGCGCTCATTTTTAAATGGCTGCTTGATACACGCTGATAGCGGAATGCTAAAGGTTGATACCAGAAGAACGATAAGCAACCCATTGCTGGCACGAGAGAAGACCGAACTCCCTGCCAAACAGATAGCTGTGCAGAGCATGAGGATGATGGATGCCCAAAGGTACTCCCACCAAAAGCCTTCATAAAGAAAGTGGGACTTGCTGCCAGAAACAACGCCAAAATTTTGCTTGAAGCAGTCAACTAGACCAACTGCGTTCATTCCTGTGTTCAAAACGCAGCCAAGGTAGAACACAATGCCAATTGAGCCACCGAACTCGGTACCTAGGGAACGGCTGATGAGATAATAAGCGCCTCCACCTCTTACGGTTCCATTCGTAGCAATCGCGGAAATTGACATGGCGGTTATCAAGTCAATTGCATATGATATTATAAGCATGACTGTTCTCCCTCTTAGCATATAGCTATACCTGAAAGGTAGATAGATAAATATTGTGAAAAGATATTACTAACCCATCATGCCGAGAACACCGCTCTGGCCTAGAAGAAAGCCGAAGCGAAGGAACATGAGAATGCTCAGAACGTTGAGAGTCGTCGGGACAAAGACGCCTGAGAAGGACCCTAGCTTTTGGGCCCCATCCCCCTCATCCTGGGCCAACTTTTCCCTTTCATCTGGGAAGCCAAGCTTGGCAGGTAGTGGCCCAGCTAACGAAGTCCTCTGAAGACGAGAGACGCTTCGACTCCTGTGTCGAACAACTCCATGGTGATCTTCATTGCTTGTTCTTCTCGCGTTACCGAGTACGGGTAAGCTCCTAGAGAGCAGATTAGAGACGGGTTTGTTTATCTCTGCAGCTCTATGGGGAGTATTCTAACCAGCTGATTCCATGTCCTGTTTCCTGCGTGGTATTCTCGTCATTGGCAGAGCCATTTAGTGGGCGATTCATGGTTGATGAAGATATCTTTCTGCAACTAGGAAACCCGGCAAGGTCTTTATGCAGCAGCCAGCAGCACCCCTGTCGGACGCTTAGACGAGCAGACTATCGAAGCATGTCCCTGCTGAGTGTGCGGGGTGTAAGTATTTAAAAGCGCGGCGTCGGCCCTCTCGCGTGGAATCCCACTGCTCCAACGTCTAAACACGCTGGTCAGCCACTTGAAGCGAGGTTGATGTTGACGTCGCCGCAGTTGGCGCTGACGTCGAATATCCCAACTTTCAGAACCTTGGGAGGCGTCATATCACGTGACCAAACTGAGACAAGCTTTCGACCAGGAACAAACCCTATTATTAAGCGCATTGAGGGCACTAAATCCATCACATGACCCTATTCCCGCGTCAAAAATGCATGCGCTAACCGCTTCGG